TCCTCAGCAGCGCGGGGCGGAGCAGCCTGCGGAAGGGGAAGCGCGAGAGCAGCGCACCGCCCCAAGCTTCCCTTTTCCGGCAGCTCCGGGAGTCACGGAGTGTCTTTGGTTGGAAAAAACGTCCAAGATCATCTAGTCGGAACTGAGACCTAACAGCGCAGGCTCACCGCTAAACCATGTCCCTAAGCACCAGGTGCACATGCCGTTTAAATGCCTGGGCAAATTATTCCAATGCTTGACGACCCTTTCAGCGAAGAAATCCTTTCTAATAGCTAACCTAAACGTCCCCTGGCGCAGCTTGCATCCATTCCCTCTGGTCCTGTCACACGTCATCAGGGAGAGGAGGCTGTCCAGAGGCAAGGAAAATAAAGCACCAAAAGCCACCTACTTCCAACGAATAAAAGCAACAGGCAGACGGGGGGTGCGTCCCGCAGCCGGGGGCTGGGAAGGAGGGAGCGTTGGTGCCTTCCCACCTACCTGCAGAGCTGCAGGGGGCTCTCCCGGTGGCAGGTACGGAGGGTGCCCGAGCAAGCTCTGGAGCCTACGAACGAGAAGAGACTGCGGTGCAGACAAGGTTTCGTGTGCTTGTTCAGTAATGGGCAAAGCTCCCTCCTGACTGCCTTCGTGTGCACCCAGTTCGCCCCAGTCCTGTACCAGAAGTGGGCATCATGTGGTACAGTTGAGAATTTGGAGTTGGGTTTTGGTGTTGCATGAGCCACAGCTCTGGGCAGTCTCCAGGCTGCTTCTAGCTTTGATCCGTAATGGCAGCGTAGCCCTTTCGTGGAAGGAAGATGTAGAAGATTCCTATAATCTTCAAATTACAAGCATAGATAGTGTAACAGAAAAAGAGGCCTCTGCTGTACAGGTTACGTAACAGTAGGAGATGGAAAACATCTTGTAAAGAAAATATTTTGCATTTTATTTTTAATCTGGAAAAAATGTAGAGATTTTTATAACCATCTACACAACTTTTATGTTTGTAAGTGCTGAAACTGGTCTTTCCTCACATAAATGGTGCTGCATTTCACAGAACTGTTTTGAGTTGGACCTTTAAGATCGAGTGCATCCATAACCTAATTTTACCAAGTCCAGTGCTTCAACCATGTCCCTAAGCACTACATCTATACATCTTTTAAACTGCTCCACAGATGGAGATTCAACCACCTCTCTGGGCAGCCTATTCCAGAGTTTAATTACCCTTTCACTGAAGAAAGTTTCTTCTAATACCCCATCTAAACCTCCCCTGTTGCTACTTGAGGCCATTTCCTTTTGTCCTATCCTCATGTTACTAGGGAGAAGAGATGCACTCCGACCTCACTACAACCTCCTTTCTGGTAGTTGTAGAGAGCAACTATCAGTTGGCCATGCACTTATCTCCCATGGACATTTAACCATATGAAAAGAAGCACTTCCTCAGCCAGGTCGTTGAGCTGTGGGGCTTCAGTTCCTTTTCAAAACAGAATGCACAAACCATCAGAGGCCTGTGCTTTTTGCAAAATGCAGCTTTCTCTAGCTGCCATCTCAAATTTTCCCATTGTTATGAATTAGCCTAAAGGTCAGAAAGCAGAGTTTCAATTCCCTTGTGCACCCTAAGTGTTTTAAATAGACATCTCCCATCTCCCTTTAAAATGCCACCACCAACACAGATTTAAGCTATATTGGACGGAGTTCCCTTTTCTATTCAAGCTGTGTAATGGCTGAGGTTCAAGTTCCACTGGACTCTGCTTTCTAATCCACCACTGAGATTCCCCTCAGAACTGAAAGAAATGCACTGCTGCTGGAGCTGCCGAACTCACCTGAGCCTCAGCTGAGATGCTGCTCACCCAGCTGTTGTTTCTTGCAGCCATGACTCCATCTACTCTACTGGTGTCATGCACATCCTCCCTTTCTGACACAGGGAGAGCTTTCTCTCTGCTGACATCTCCCTCTCTCTGCACTGCTGCCTCCCCTCCATCATTCTAAGCAGTTCCCTGAAAACTAGAATTGAAAATGTCCTGAAAAGGAAGATGTGCACAAGGAAAGAACAACAACAAAAAAAATCCCAGTTACTGGTTAGTAGCTCAGCATTCACTCAAGGTACAGAAAATACAAGTTCTCCTCTCAGGACTGCTTCTGTAGTTCACCTTAAAAGCTGTTAGGACTTGCTTTCTGTGTCTCCAGTTCTCAAATTCTTCTGATTCTCATCTTACGCATCATGAGATGCATAATTCTTTGTTACTACACAGGGACTTAGGGTTTTTACAAATGTCTAGTATTTACTTGTGTCCTGGTTTGAGCCAGGGTTAAGCCAATTTTCCTGATTTTTTTTTTTTTCTTCAGTGAGCTTTCTTTTAACTAGCAACACTGTTCTGCTAAAGCTGATAAGGCAGTGGAATGTTTTTCTAACTGCTGGGGCTTCAAGGTCGCATCTTCACTCTGCTGGCTCAGACACTACGGGGGGATCGAGAGCATTGTTGTCGGACCTGAGTCAAATGCTGACAACTTGCAAGTCTAAACCTTAGAACCAAAATTCTGTGGAATTTTTGCTTTTTAATTCTTAAAATTATGTGCAGGCTGGATTTTTCCTGGTGCTCATGAGAGCTTGTTTCCGTAGTTGTGATGTCCGTGGCCAAAATTCAAACAATAAAAACTGTTTTAGTAGTGGCAGCCATTTTGTCAAGTACAGACATAAGCACTGGAAATAAACATAACACTTTACAAGAGAGAACACTTTACAAGTAAAAACAGTTTACATAATTCTCTTATTTAAGTTTTTAAGTCCTACATTTACTACAGGAGCCTTGTTATAAGTTTAAAATTTGATTTGGTACCTTTCCTACCAAGTCCTGTATTATTTGCCTGTATTATTTGTGTTTGTGTACACACACATTTAGGGTATTATTAAAGTAAAATCTGTGTACATTCAAACTAAAGTACAATTGCAACCCTTTTAATGCTGAACTCAACTGAGCTCATATAAACCAACTATACTGAATATTTAGACAAAGGGCTGTGATGATTTTTCTAAATAAGAGAAACAATTACAGAAGATACTTTTGTCTGTTTCCAGATTTGGCTCCATCTTTTTTCTGATTGTTTCTACCTTTTCTCTTCCTGCACAAGTAAGGAGGAATGGGTTATTACTACAGTAAATCAGAATAAAGCATAATTTCAATTACTCTTTGAGAAAAGAAATAATGACTACTCTGCCAGTGCAGAAAACAACACTAAAATGCCTTACTTAAAAATAAATAAAGAGAATGTTTAGTAAAACTATTTGCCCTTGTTTTCCCCAGCTCTTTTGTTTTTTCCCACTGTACATTTGTAGTAAGAATTCTGATAAAATCCTGTTCCCACTCACTGAGCTCAGGAATTAACTTTTTGTTTGCATGAGAAACATTTCAAAAGTTAGATAACTTTTTTTTTTTTTTTTTAAACAATATAGCTCAGATCAAGGACTTGAAAAAACACTATAGGAAAGGGGAAGACAGAACAAAACCTTATTGATACAAATTCTTCCACCTAAAAACATGAATACTATTCTGAACAAAAAATTTAAATCATGTGAACCTTGGATGCAAAGACTTTAAAAAATCAAAGACTTTAAAAAATATTAAAAGCATCAAGTATGGACACAGTAAGAAACCTAAACATTTTGCTTATAAACTCAGTGTACAAACTCTATGTCAAAGAACTAGAAAGTACGATTTTCTGTGAATGTATGAATGGAATGCAATTATCCTCTTTTAAGCAATCTTAACATGTTTCCTCTTACACTAGGAAAAATATTGCATGAAAAAAGCAGATCATATTTTGAATCAAATGAACAGTAACTTTTCCAACACTAAAATGAAAAAGTGTATATGTTTTTAAAATGCATTTTGTGACACAAAAATGTAACAGACAGGAGCTATTTTTATTGGTTTTACCTGGGTTTTTCAGAGCCAGTTAAAAGGTGTATGCTATTGTTAATAGAAATATATAAACATTACATATTATGATTTTTTTTTTGCCTCATTTGCTTAGGATAAGTTGCAATATCTTTTGCTACTTCCCAGAGTGATCAGTCAATTTATTAGGGTAAAAACATTGATTATTTTAAACAACAGAGAAGTTCAGAGGTGTATATCCTGTGAGAGGTTTATATCCTTATAAGAACTACAGCAACAACAGTATTTACTTTTTATGCAAGAGAGAAAGTAGCTGCCTTCATGCTGAGCTATTCCTTTCCTTTTTCTTCTTCTGCAGTGGAGCTTCCAATTTTTGCTTCTCTGAAGGAGTTTTTCTCTTTAATTTTGGTGGTTTGGCACTTTTATCAGTCCAACGCACTTTTTTTCTCCTGACTATTGATGAAAAATCATCTTCATTTGCTGAAAAGAAGGAAGAAATTATTCACACTGATAGTTATGCTCAGCAGGCTTTGTGGCCTAAAAAGGCAGAGACTTATTTGTATACCATTTTAAAAAAAGGGTTATACATTATTTTTTATTTAAAGTGGGATGTGCCATTTATGCTAGTTTTGCCTGTGATACAAAAATACCTAATGATTGAACTAGGCCTCAGGCCTAATTTTGGTTACAGGAAGACAAGGCATGCAGTTCTATCAAACTGTTTATTTTTTACTTACCTGTCTCAAACACTTCAGAGTGTCTTCCTCGGTATGTTATTCCAGTAACAAGAAACAAAACTTTCATATAACAGAAGTGAAAAGAGGCTTGTCCTCCAACATACATGCAGGCTTGAGACACTCTCAGATTGGTAAGGATATCTGCATCACTTGCCAGCATCCTGATCCCAATTCTTCAAGATACCAAAACTTTTTTCCAATGCACATAGTAAAAACTTCCCAGTTAAGAGTATTTCATTTCACAGTCACATAAACAACCAAAAATACACACAGTTCTATTACCTTGAGATGATTCTGCAGCTTTATGAGAATTTTCTTTTGTTTCTGAAGCTGGGTTAAGCCATACTGCAAGACATGTCAGCCTAGCTTTGGTATTGACTTCACACAGCAAAGATGGCACATCTTTAATCTGAATAGAGAAAAAGATTACTTATAAATTATTTTATTTATTTTTAAACTTATGGAAGTATTTAAAGTGAGAAAGGATCTTACTGCCCGTCTTCCACTTAGGCACTTTCTGGTGCCTAACAAAGTTTAGAACTAGAGACTGTATTACCTGTTAACAGCCCCATTGTTACAATCCTATTCCTGGTAACATTCCTCAAAAAAACCCTCCCAATGGCTTTAAGAATGCATTATGATAAGCAGTTATAAGTGGGTTTAAGGCATATGGGGATAAGCTTAACAGGATGAATAACTAGATTAGTCACAGGCACTCCCAAAAAATCTTTCACGATTTAAGAGGTTTCTCCAGAGTAACAGGTATTTTTTGGTGTAAATAATTTTGCTAAAATAATTTAAACTAAGTTATTGCATCATATTGCTTTCTCTGGATTATAGTAGATCCTTTATTACTAGGCATAAAAGAAAAAAAATCTAATTATGATTTTAAAAGACAAACTCCAGAGCAAACAACACACATGGGAAACTTTAAAGGTAAGACATGATTCTTTGTTGAACTGTGCCCTGAGAACTGTTTGAAAATACAGGAAATAAAAGTACCCAGTACATTAATATGTTTGAACTGTTCAAAAGGACAACTTTTTCCCCCTACATGAATAACCAGTCTCCCCCCAAACCACAGAATTTGTGTTTTTAAGAGTGGCAACAGTCATCAATATTACAAAAATCCACAGGAGTCCTTATTACAAAAATAACTGGCTAGACAGTCTTAAGTCTGGCCAGGTAGGTCTAAAGGGAAGCATGACTTTACACAAAGGGGAAAAGAGATCTCCATAATATAACCAAATTTTAGAGTTTGTTTAAGAACAAATTGCATAGCTACAAAAATATACCAGTGCATAAAAACACGTGCACAGAGATATATACATCTCTCCTGAACATAACATGGAGGATGATCAAGACTTGGATTTCAAGTAAAATTTTCTCAGTGATTTCAAATTAATCTTTATAACACCCCTTTCTGCAATTTTGGTTGTCTGATATTTTTCCATAAATGTAACAATCAGTGTAATAGACCAACCTTATTAAGATCCAGATTCCACATTTTAATGTAACCGTCACTGGATGCAGTAACAATAACATGTTGTCCTTCTCTTTCAAAGCTAAAGATATCTTTTATTCTGTGAAGAAAATGTAATACTTTGTGACTTTATAGCATGGCAGTTCACTTCAGAACAGTAAGCTGACAGTAATTAAAGATGAATAGGAAACAGTCTAAGAATAATTTTCAACAGAAAACCCACCAAATGGCAGGCAGAAACTTGGTATGGTAATCCGGTTTGAGTGCTGTCATTTACAGCAGGAACACTTGGCTTTGCTAGGTTTGGTAGGATTCAATTCAGAAGACTTCAATACTATTAACCACACAAATGATACTTCAGATAATGTTTTTGTGTTTTGATTAATTAAAATCAGCATGGGTGGGGGCTCTATTTCAGGTCTTGCAACAGAGATGAGGCTGACCCAGAACTGCCAAGGGGGCAAATGTCAAGAGGACTGACCAAAATAAACAGAATGTAACCAGGTGTCTTACTACTAAATTTGGCTGCCCAATACAATACAGTTTTTGTTAAAGGAGCAGTGGGTAACCTGTACAGCCATTTTCATCTACCTGAGGAGCTCTACAGACCCCATTACAGTTCTGATAAAACTTTGGGGAAGGAAGGGGGTAAATTAGACTCTCTTCCTGAAATAAAAGATTAACACAGATCCATGCCAATATACGAAGATACTACATTTAAGACACATATCTATAATCATCTTATCTTTACAATCAGAATGGTCTGGGTTGGAAAGGACCTTACAGTTCCAACCCCCCTGCATGGGCAGGGACACCTCCCACTAGACCAGTTTGCTCAGAGCCCCATCCATCCTGTCCTTGAACACTTCCAGGGAGGGGGCATCTACAACTTCTCTGAACAACCTGCTCCAGTATCTCACCATCCTCACGGTAAACCTAAATCTCCCCTCTTTCAGTTTGAAACCATCCCCCCTTGTCCTATCATTAATCTCCCCGATAAAAAGCCCCTCCCCCACCTTTCCTGTAGGTCCCCTTCACATACTGGAAAGCCACTATAAGTTCTCCCCGGAGCCTTCGCTTCTCTAGGCTCAGTATTGTATGCTGTACTTAGATCACAAATTCAGAACTGTAATATTTCTAATGCTATACCCTGTTGTTACTGTAACATACATGGAAAGCAGAGTACTTGTGCTTATACTAAAAGCCAATAAGTCTGTGCCAAATTTGGAATTTAGCACATAATTTACTTCCTATACTGGAACAAAAACAATAGTAAAATATGTTGAACATTACAAATCATTGAACTTCACTGAGTACTCAGCATCACCATAAATATTTAAATAGTAAACAAATATAAAATACCTGTTTTCATGAGCTTTAAATTCACACAGGCATTTTTGGGAGTCACAGCTATAGAACCTTATGATTTCATCATCTCCAGCTATGGCCAGGATAGAATCCTTGGAATGGAAAAAAAAAGAAATGCAAGTGTGTTTAATTTCATGGGTTTCAAATGAGTTAATTTCCCAGCACCTTTCTTTTTTGTACTTACTGTAATAAATCTAAGTGAAGAAATTCTCTTCTCTATCGTGATAGTGCCAGTGATTGAAGCTGTATCAAGTTTGTAGATATCCACTTTATTTGTTATCACGGTCACATACTTCTCTCCATCAGGGGACCATTTAATTATGTGGGCATCTGTACATATTGATACATTTGCATACACATGTACACAGTTTTTTGCATTCTGTATTTCATGATAATCTAAAAAGAAGAATCTTTAGAAGCTGCTAGACATTGTTTTCTACCTAAACCTGAGAAAAATTCAGGAAAAAAATCAAGTAGCCTAGAAAAAACAAATAAAATTATACTTTTAAATGTTTATTTCCGTTTATCACAAGTTTATAAAGTAAAGAAGTAGAAACATAACACATTTATTTAGATGTCCTGACATCCAATTTCAAGGTAAAAAAAAAACACTTTAGTATCATTATGTTTTCCTTCTGGTAAATTATCATTAAGGATACACGCTTATATATGCTTGCCTGCATGTGTAAAAAAGACATTGTGGAAGTTGCTTGCATCTAACTGACTTGTTGGTTAATTCAATCTGCCTTTTTTTTTTTTTTTTTACCCTCCCCCCCCCCCCATCTAATTTCACTTTGTAGTGAATTTAGACTGATAAACTTACTTTGCTTTAAGTTTTTGATAAAGGCTGACCGTCCTTCCACAAGATTCCAAGTTCTAAAAGACAACAACAGATAATGTGCATTCCAGTTAAAAACAGCAGAGTGAAACTGCAGTCCTATCTGCTGACATGAGGCATCCAAAGGAAGATTTTAAGCATGTCTATGCATTTTGTTCTCTTTTTAATGCAAAAGAAAGTGATGACTTGTTTTATCGCTTGCAGGTTGAATTAGTGATATTTATTTTATAAACCACAGTTTGCAATGCAGAGCCTAAAAGGAGTCAAATACCAGTATGTCCTGTTACAATACTATTTTAATATATTGAAAACATATATAGAGCAACACGTACACACTACGAGTGAAAAATTACTCTTCTCACACTGAACAAAACCTGACAGCTTTCAGAAATTCAAACAAATTGTGTTCCAAAATGTAACTGTATTCATACATCTACAAGTAACTACAGAGTCAAGAGCATAACAAGGGGCTGGGAACAGCAAGGAGTCTTTCTAAAAGACTTTAAAACATTGCTACTGCCTAGAATTTGAAGACAAACCTATGGATCTTTGAACCATTTGATGTCCAAAAATGTTTTGTCAGTGTTTAGCCAGATGGAACTGTCACTTGTAACAATCTGCTGAGAGTTACTGAATTGTGATTCTCGGCATTTCTCCATCAATTTAGACTCACCTTAATGTTTTATCTGTTCCTACTGACAAAGCTAATTTCCCAGAAGGATGAATAGAAAGAGATGTCACATGGCCCCTGATTAAAAAAAACCACACAAATGTATTAGCCACATGTATTATTTACAAGGAAAATGAATATGAAAACTCATGTGCATATACAGGTTTAAGAAACTCACTTATGAGCCCTAATGGATTTCAGGCATTCCCATCTCTTTGTGTTCCAGATACAAATTAGTCCATCTTCAGCCCCACTCAGTAGATGCGCAGTACCATAGAACTCCAAACAAGTTATTGTGCCTAAAAATCCAAAGAAGAGCTATTAACAAAGTTTTACACACTGAACACAGAGAATGTATTAATTAGCAGAGAAGCTTCTGGCATCAAAACATGCCAGCTACTACCCTTCCCTTGGGCAAATCTGAATTACTTCCGAAGTATTTCTTCACAAGCCCCACCCTGGCAATCTTTTTGTTCTGTTCAATCACTCAAGTGCTTTGCCAGCCCTCCTAGAGCCAGCCATACACGCCTGAACCCCATCTGGTCTGCTCCTGAAACAGCAGTACTTAATCACTGTGCTGCAGGTAACACAGAGCTTCTGTCATTGCTACGGAATGCTCCTATGTCAAAGCTCAGCTCTTGACACGCAGGCGAATTTATTGCTGCTTCCCATGAGCACCACTTACACACCATGTGAGTTGAACACAGGTACCACATTCAGTCTAGCTCCGTGTACTTCTTGGTTAACAGGAGAAAATGGACAATCAGGATTAAGCTACAAACGACCCAAACAGAGCAGCCTGCTCTCACACAGACAGACATTATGCATGGCTCATGTACATTTGTGACAGGAAAAGGACATGGGGGAAAGATGGTTCTGCAGAGTAGGCACAGTCTAGATAAACTGCCCAGTAAAACTAAAATGGCTCACGAGCCACTTGTGAGCTGTAACTTCTTGAACAGTTAAGCTTAAACATGAATTGAAAAAGCAGCTATATTTGTGGGCTAATACCCAAATGGATTTTTTGATGTTTATGCTCAAAAGCTTCCTTGTATCGTTAGGCCAACGTGGCTGCAACAGCATCACTAATAAAGACTTATTAAAAAAAAAAAAGATCACCTAAAAAAGACTTATTAAAAAAAAAAACACAACATTTTTCTTCTTCTGGTAAGGGCTAGTTTTTCAGCTCTAAATTTCTATCACTAATGATGTTCTGTGAAGAAAAGCCCCCCTACCATTGTGCTGCAGCAGCGCCCCGTGTTCTACCCTCTTTTTCATGTCATAGATTTGGATGGTCTCATCCCTGCTCCCCGTGACCACGTATCTGCTGTTCACTGCGACCACCGACAACGAGGCAGAGTGGGCGTGATGTGTAAAATCAGGAACGACTGCCCAGGCCTGTCGACGAAAACGCAGAATAAACAGGTTTTTCTGAAGGTGATCATCTTTGTCAGCCTTTTTTTTTTTTTTTAACAGCAAAACCTAGAGAGGTGTGTGTGTCAAATGCAGGCAGTTAGGCCTGTGCTGGGATCTCCTTGAGTTAACGTGCTGCTGAAGAGATCAGTGTGTCCCCCCCCCCACATTTAAGCGTGCCCTGCCCTCAGGGCAGCACCCACCC